CAGTCTTGCTCAAACTTCTATCCACGGCCTTTCTCCGGCCATCCATGGCCGTTCAAGTCAGATTCATGGCTTTTCCGGCTAGATCGGTAACTTTTCGAAGTCTTTCTTATTTTTCTGAGTTCTCCGAAACCCTAACTTTAAAGGCTTTTGATTTTTCTTTTAGATCTGTCTTAGATCTGTGTATGTTATGAGCCTCTTCAGCATTTCCCTTAAGGGTTTTTCGATTTTTCAAAGCGATTTTTTATTTTTTCAACGATTAGGGTTTTTCTTAACCTCTTTTTAAAGATCTCTTCTCTGATTTTTAGTGTTGCTTTATGATTCTACTATGTTCAAACGATTTGTTTATGCTTTTCTTCTACCTGATTCAGCATGTTGAAAACCCTAAATATCTTTGGTTTTATTCGGGGTCCCGGAACTGTCTTTGTTTATTTTGTATACTTGTTCCGATTGAGTTCTTTGAGTTTAAATCCTTCTCTTTGTTTAAATTGACTGATTCTGAGTTCCTACCTTTTTAAATCAACTTTGTCAAAACCCTAGTTTCTTGAAATTTCCTCGTTTGCTACGGAGAGTTTTTGAAAGATCTCCTTTACCTATTGCTATGTGCTAGACTGTTTCCTTTATTTTTTGGTTCTATGTGACTACTGGACTTTGTTGACTACTGTGCTTCGAATATGTTTCTTTTACTACTGAATCCTAGCCTACTCCTACTACTACTGTATGTTTGTGTTGCTTCTTTTGGCCATATGGTTGGCCTTGCGTGTCTGATACTCTTGTTCATTCTTCTCTATTTATATGGCAAAGTGCAAAATTATGATTCTTTATTGATTGATCTTGATTTCCTCAAGTTACGACTGATTGTAAATATTTTCTTATAAACCCCCGGTTTCACTCGTTTTTGTTTAAATCGATTGATTCCTTTCATTTGCTGTGATGTTTTATCCCTACTGAATCCTTTCCCCAATTAAGTATATTTGTACTTAGACTCATTTATTTACTCTATCCCTTATATGGTCAGAAATCAATCTTTCTCAAATTGGTTTTCTTTCCTTAATTATTCCTGTCAGTATCCATTTGAACAGTAATTCCTTGATTAAAGGAAAGTACTTGTATTAATTGATTCTGATTGTGATTATTTTCATGTTTGTGTTAAAACTTTACTTGTTACCTTATTTTACTCTTTTTTAAAACTATAAATACTCTACCCTCTCTTCTTTAAATACACGAACAATTGAGTTCAAAAACACACACTTACACACTCAAAACTCTCTTTCTTTACTACTACTTGTGCTACTGCTTTGTCTAGCCGACTGAAAGGCAAGGCTAGACTGTGGGATTCTACTTGCTTTACCTTTCTGCACCTTGCTTTCTCTACTGGTATGTCCTAGTAATTTTAAAGCTTCAACAACAACATGCTTCTTTAATTGTTTCAATTTCTCTTATTCTTGTCTACTTCTGCTTGTGGTTCTGCAGTCAAGTTACATTACCGACTTGCTATAATGTCTCCCCTTCCCTTTAGATTAATGTACTCCCCTATGTGTGTTTCAAAGCATACTCCGTCAGTCACTTATTGTGTACTTGCCATCCCAAGTCCCTATCCCTTCAATGTGCTTATATTTTTTCTGACTAGCCTGTGATTATGCCAGTATCAACTATTGCTGTGCATATCCAACTAGTCCTAATACCCTTGATGGGATTATGTGTTTTCAGTCAAATGTCTATGTGTCCCAAACCCTTTGACCCCCCTTGTGTGACTACTGATTCTGTGTGTGATCCCATCTTGGGAGTTTGAGTTTTGTTTACTACTACAACTGCTTTCAATCACCTCTGTTACTGATTACTTTCAAAGTGGACTTGCCAGTCTAGTTTTTTTTTTAAAAAAACAAACAAACTCTTTTTCAAACTATGTCAAGCACTCTCACCTACTCTTAGAATCTAGGTTATGCCCCTTTTTGTGTGAGCCTTGCCTTGGGACCCTTGAGCTCCCTCTGAACTTGGACACATAAGAGCTGGCTCTTCCACACTGCACTCATTCTGTTTGGTTATGCAAATCTGGGTGTGAGCACTGCCCGGGATCCCTTGAGGTCCTTAACTCTGACACACCCAACTATGAGAAAAGCTTTGGAACAATAGTGGCTTTTGAGGTGGTTCATTACATAACTCATAGAGGAAATCAAGATCAGGCTTCCTATGGTTGTAACTTCTTATTTTTGCATTTCTTTTGGTAATTCATCATTTGGTCTGTAATAATTTGTAAACAATTATGGGGTTGGCTAGTGAAAAGGGAATGGGTAAGTATGCATGCTTTAGCTATCAAAAAGGATAGAAAGCAAGTTACTAGGTTTACGTTCCTACTTGCGCAATAAAAACCACGCCTAGGACTCATTTCATGCATTAGAGATCATGCTCCTTAGGATTTTCACTTACTGTTTTTAGCGTGTCCATTTCACTATCATATCACTTAGAAAATCCTGCATTAAATGTGTTAATAACCGGTGTTTTCTACAATCATGTTCCTACTGCCATGCAGACTTAGAGATCTTGTTTTATGCTAAACAACACCAACAAGCATATCCTCTCTGCATATTCTTGAAGTCATGTTTTAAACGCTATAATATTTGTGCATATAGAAATCCTGCTTAGGATTCTGCATATACATCATTCTGCATTTCTATACATTAGATGCCATATCTTTAGGACTTCATTTATATTCGCTTAAACACGCTTAGGCTAACTATGAATTCATAAAAAAATTTATTTAGTTTTTTTTTATAACCAACTGGCAATAATTCTATGTGTTGAATACCTAAAACAACATGTCTTAGGTAATAATAATCTCCAAACGTCTTAATGATTCTGAATAACTACTGAATACTGCTTACGCCTAGGCAAGCCTTAGGTAATCACTTAAATAAAAATTGGAACTGCCTCTGTTTAATTCTAGATTGCTACAACCAGCAGGCAGGCCTGATTCGGACTTCTTTTCTGAGTTATATAATGAATCTGGTTCTGACTTAAACACCCTGCTTTAGGATTCTAAACTCAGACCTTAATTGTGTATAAGTCGTGTTGTCTATGTGCATTGCTTGCAGAGGTATAACTGAGCCTTCTATTTGCTTATATGTTTCCCCTAATTGCAGTTTTATATGTTTTGTATGTCGCCTTAACATTTTACCTTTAAACCTAAGGGTCAACCTAGAACCTCCTTCCTATAGGAATAGGAGTCCTAAAATTCCTCCGGGACTGATAGGAATGAGACGGGTAATAGCATGCAATAAAGGTCGAGACCAACCTTCGCTCTAATACCTTCACAGGGTGGAGAGGGTAGATATGGATATGATGACCGGTGCGCTAATACCACGTGTATCCCCTCTTCTGAGGAGTGTCATACCGGGTATCGCATTAATGTGATCCATATTACAAACAAACCTAGGACACCCCTTTTATTTTTATAAGTATGCGTAACTCTTTTCAAACCCTTGCTTTTATTGTTTTCAAACACTTGTGTATTTAAACTTAAATCCTCTATTACTTGAGCCTTTATTTGTTTATTTGCTAATTGCACAAATTCACAAAAAACTGTCTGGCCGGGAACCACACTAGTGGATCCTGAGGGGTGCCTAACACCTTCCCCTCAGGATAATTTCAAGTCCTTACCCTATCTCTGGTTATCAAACATAGTTGTAGTTGAACCATATGGGTGCCCTAACGCACCTTAAAATCGTTTGGTGGCGACTCTTCAAATACCCAATTCTCAAAAGGAAATGAGTCATCACACCCCATGAATATCGAAACCTGGACTCCTCTCCGATGGAAAGGGGAAAAAGGGGGGGGGGGGGGACAAAGACTAGGGTTTGGTTTCACAGTAATATGTGCTCTAATAATGTTTGATCTTGAGTTATGTTGTGTAATATTCTTACGATTCTGTCTTCCATATTTTAGGTGATTCAAATAATATATCAAGTTATATCAATAATCCACCTGTTTCGGATTAAGGACAAATAATGCTGTGAAATTCTTAATTAGTTATTCTACATAGAGGTAAAAGGAGGAAATGGATGGGTAAGTTTCGCTCTTATTGACCTCCGGTCGTCCCTTGTTGGTCCACAAAATTCATAAATTAGTTTGAAGTTTTGACTTGGTTAACTTCAGTTTTCTTCTTGCTTGATTGTGTTAAATTAATTAGTGATCATTCATTTTATGTAATTAGGCGAAAATTCTTTTAATGTAGCAGTTAGGTGAAAATTCTTTTTAATAACATATGCCAGTTATAGGTTTGATACTAGAATTTCTGTTTACTCTAATACTATGTTAACTTTTTTAATCATATCATATAAAAGTTTAAATTGCTAGACACACACTTTCTATTGAAGGTGCTTCTTGAAACTTGTTTACTTGTGGCATTAGTTTATTTACCTAGTTACCATGCTTGTTCAAGAGTCCAGCTTCATGAAATATAATACTCCTATTAGGTAATTCGAGTTCATTTAGATTTTAATTACTGAGTTCACGTGAACTCAGTAATTTTTATTTAAATTTTATATTTATATTAAACATATAAAGATTGCTCGGAACCAAATATATATTAATTTAAGATCGTTGTATTAAACTTCAAATTTGAATTCGTCTCTATGCCTACTAATGTAAGGGTCTTTTAATTAAGAAATTTCATAAGAATAAATTGCAGATCAGCAGCACCAGTCTATTCATATATACGATATACTGCACTCACTACAACCTAATATAGGAAACGGATAAAAAGAATCATATTCCTACAATTGACAACTGCTTTTACACAAAGAATAAAGTATTTATCACGTGCATCGAGTCATTTTCTCTTAATGCAAATCCAGCTAGGTTTTGCCTTTTGTTTTTGTTTTTGTTTTTTTTTAAAACATTTTTTCTCCTTTTTTAGACCCTTTATGTTTCTCCTTTGAATAGGTCTAGCACATGATGCTCGACAAAAAATCAGTAAAAAAAAAAAAAATTGAAAATCAGAAGTATCTCTTGGAAACGGAAACTACAATATTATTCAATGAACTTATTGATCTTATTACAGAGAACCTTGACATAATCCAACATGAAGTCAAAACTCAAAAGCACATAAACATGTACGGCTTGGTACGTAAATAAATATAATACTTTCAAAACATATATAGTTCGAAATCTTCACGAGATATACAACTAACGTGAAGTCAATGGGAAAAAAACACAAAACAAAAGGACATATTCTCCTTTTGTGGCTTTAACTTCTCTTCTTCTTTAAAACACTCCATTTATTCGCTCGTGAGGCTTTTCCTTCTGCTTCCTCTTTTCCCTGCATGGATCAAATTGTCCATAGATGAGGTAAAATATATGAAGGTTTTCATTAATCAAATATTCTATTCAATGTGCTTAGTAGCATAGACAAAGACTGCAAAATATGACAGATATATTACCTTGATCTAGAGTGTAAAACGCATTTCCTAGTAGTGAGGAGGAGGTGGAGATGTGTAATAATAGTGGTAAGGGGGTGGTGGAGACTTGTAAACTGGGGGTGGTGGAGATTTATAAACTGGTGGAGGCGGCGGCGGTGATTTATACTTGTAAACTGGTGGTGGTGGGGATTTGTAGACTGGAGGAGGTGGTGGAGGAGACTTGTACTTGTAAATAGGTGGTGGTGGAGATTTGTAGACCGGAGGAGGCGGTGGTGGTGATTTGTATTTATAAACGGGTGGTGGTGGTGATTTGTATTTGTAAACCGGAGGAGGTGGTGGAGGAGACTTATGCTTGTAAACGGGTGGTGGTGGGGATTTGTACATTGGTGGAGGTGGTGGTGGAGACTTGTACTTGTAAACGGGTGGTGGTGGGGACTTGTACTTGTAAATAGGTGGCGGTGGGGATTTATGGACTGGTGGAGGTGGTGGTGGGGACTTGTACTTGTAAACGGGTGGTGGTGGGGATTTATAAACTGGTGGAGGTGGTGGTGGAGACTTGTACTTATAAACGGGTGGTGGTGGGGACTTATACTTGTAAACGGGTGGCGGTGGGGATTTATAAACTGGTGGAGGTGGTGGTGGAGACTTGTACTTGTAAACGGGTGGTGGTGGGGACTTGTACTTGTAAACAGGTGGCGGTGGGGATTTATAGACTGGTGGAGGTGGTGGTGGAGACTTGTACTTATAAACAGGTGGTGGTGGAGACTTATACTTGTAAACGGGTGGTGGTGGAGATCTATAAATTGGTAGAGGTGGTGGCGGGGATTTGTACTTATAAACTGGAGGTGGTGGTGATGAGTACACGTACTTCTTGGTTGGTGGAGGAGGAGAACTATAGTAGTAATTTGCTTTGCATTCTAAAGGAAAGCTAAGGGACAGTAAAGCCACTACAAGAGTGGCGAGAAGAGAGACTATTTTAGCCATTTTTGGTGTGCCAATGAATCCTCCCCAAAGCCTGCTTTTATAGCTCAACGTAAGGCTTCAACTCATCGTTTAATCACAAAGATATTAACTATAATTAATTGTGTTTATTATTTAAATATAGTAGTTTGAACTGGCACTCTTATATCAACTAGTAAAATTATGAAACTGGACTGACTTGGGAGGATATTTTATTAGGCAGAAAAATACAGGGAAACATAAAAGAAAGCATTCATTAATTTTTGTCATCACAAGTGTGCTTGGAAGACTTTGAAAGTTTTGTGTGAATGCTTAATTTGCCCTTTTATTTCTTTCAAAATAATGAAAATCAAATGAATTTAATAACGAGACCTCGTAATTACATGACTACAATTTTCTTGTTAACCTATCAACTTCATTTTCGTTAACTCTCTTTTACGTGCATGTAAATTTAATTTCGAATGTCAATTTCACGTAACAGTTCTTTGGACCAATATACGACACATGACTCTTCCGCTCTTGGAAGATTTTTCGTTAGTTCCGTAATTCTTAGTCCACTAGAAAATAAATAAATAAACCAATACAGTATATAGTTGTTCTAGAGAAACAAAATTTTATCGCTGAAAAAAGGCAGGTAGATTAAAAAAAAGTAGAGAGCATATGAGACTCTTTAGTAGGATGTGTTGTTACAATGTTTTTTTAATATATTTTTATCGAGTGTCCAATACATGCGTTAGGACTAGATGAATCTGAATTCACTTAGAAAAGTTTCATTTTGGGGCAAGGCTTTCTGTTACATATCCAAAAATCCAATCCAAGACCTCTAATTAAGGATATAAGAATAACATTACTCCATAACCTGGTGTGTTGTTACACTGTTGTCACCATAATGTTTCACACTATTATAAATTAATAAGATGATCATTATTAAAATAATGCTACATATATACCTTTTTGCACAAATTCGTTTTATCTTTGTCTTTGATCATTACTATGAATTTTGACAGGTCAAAGTATCATTTGACAAGAGGGGTTGCTCTGATGGTAAGCAACTTCCACTTCCAACCAAGAGGTTGTGAGTTCGAATCTCCCCAAGAGCAAGGTGGGAAGTTCTTGGAGGGAAGGATGCCGGAGGTCTATTTGGAAACAGCATCTCTACCTCAGGGTAGAGGTAAGGTAGTACTGAAGGACTCCATCAGAAAGTCCCTCGGAATAGCGATTAAAAAAAGTTCATCGATACTGCTGCGTCGGTAAACAACTGTTGTTTTTTAGTTTGGAATAAGAAAGCTGTTTTGTGAAATCACATGTTAATCTGATTGAATTTTTCTTAAGATGAGATATAAATAGGAATTCTATACATGGACAAACCCAATTCACAAATCACAATTCACATGTGGAAATGTGAAACAACTTTGTTTATTGCCTTCTTCCCCGATATAAAATTCCAACGTCCCGAGTGGCATAGACCTATTCCGAAACAAAAATAAAAATTCATTTGATTATGTCCTTAGATCGGGTAAACCGTTGAAATTAACAAATACCTAATTAAGTTTGAAATCTTACATCTGGGCAATATTATATGGTGTTAACCTTAGAAACGTAGTACATTTTCTATACGGCATTAAATTTTGCCGATCGAATAATATCTTCAGTCAAAAGGCGTCCTACCTCGAGGTAGAATAATACATTAAAAGCAATGGAACTCTTTACGGTCTCAAAATTGTTGGATTTAGAATAGCCTTAACCTACCTTATCAGCTAACTCAATATATAGTCTCAATACTTTTGGATGTGATTGTTTGACAATTTCAAAACTACTATAAGTGAAAGTTACTATAAGTGCGGAAATTAAAATAAGGAACTTCGTCCACATAGATTGAAGATAATTTTCTAGCTACTTTTATACTATCATTTTGTGGAAGGCTGACTAATATTTATTTATCTAATGTTAATTTAAGCAAAATAGTTTAAAAGAAGCCTCCTCGCTTTCATATAGTTGATATTAATTTGTTCGAAATTCAATTTCAAATTCGGACAAAATTAAGATGCAATTAATTACGAAGTTTGCTTCTTATGTACTTATCCTTTTTAAAATTTTGGAAAATGACCGAACAGATACTATCTCTTGGCTTAAAGATATGTCAGTCACGAAAACATAATACGTAATATATACAACGCCAAGAAATACAACAGTAAAATGTGACTAGAGCGTTGTAAAAAATTTAACCCTAGTGGATAAGAAGTACCATTGTCCTTATTATTGTACTCTTTGTGACATTGCTACAAACTTAGTACAATAGGTATATTTGTATAGAGTTGTAGGAAGAAGACATTGGATACGTTTCACCCACTATTGAATTGACTACATCAACGTGTGAACTCCATGCAAAATTATATATTCTTGAGAGTTGAAATTTTTGTGGCCTAGAGTTGCGTAAGACATTAAGTTATCACACACAGAAATAATTTACTATTTTATACCTATTTTATCCTTATTATTAAGTATTACTAATTATTTTCAATTCATTATTATGAGTGATATAGAAAAATTCATTTTATTAATTGCTTTCTAAGCTGTATTAGTCAAACATAAAATAGATGGAGGGAGTATAATATTGAGAGAAAAAAATGAAAAAGGAAAATTCGAGAAAATTAATCACCAAAACCCTATATTTCGTATCGGAAATATAGGTTCGATTGAACTCGTAACCTAAAGGCTATATTCACTCCTGCTCTCCTATACGGCTGACTGATCGAGACATAGGAGAGAAGAAACAATTGGAAAATTCCAGGTTCTAAGCTAAACTACAACAATCCGTAAGATCTCATTCGCTCAAATATTAATGAATAGAGTTACTCGGTAAATATGCTCATGAGACAGATCAATATATTAGTCGAGATATAAATTCAGAAAAAAGAAGAAGAAGCTAAGTACAGCAAAGCAGAGGAATCCCGCGTTATATAGTCAAGTGGCTGAGCTTGGAATCTATAATGTAATGTAGCTTTTGGATCTTTCTAAAAAGGATGCAATTATTAGTGCAATTTGGGCTATTGACTTTACAAATCTTTATACCTCTTTTTTTTTCTTCTTCTTCTTATCTTTTGTTTTGTATGATTGTATAGAAGAGTCGAAATCTCACCTACTTTTTGCATGTTATTGACATCTACTTCTACGCGTCTATCCACTTGGAAAGCACGTTCCTTAACAAGCAACAAAGATTCTGCTGCCTTTATTTACATCCCTCTTCTTTTTCTAATTATTGCTTATTTTATCAAGTTAATTACTATATAATTACTACTTGGCTTGATCATAAATTAATTAATATTTTCTGATTTAATAATTTGAAATTAATAATGTGGTTATATATANACGATACAATCACTGATTAGTCTACATTTTTTGAGGAGGAAATAGATCACCATTAGTAACTCCGCAACTTGTTCCAATTTCTTGTTTTTCCTTCGTGTAGTAGAGATCCACAAATAATAAGGATATAAAAGGTTAAAAAAAGGAAAGAATTTTTGGTAGGATTGAAATCGCACACTTAAAAAGAACTACAGTTATAACTATTACCCACAACTAGGAGTGTACGTAGATCGGTTTGGTTCGCATTTTACAATTACCAAATCAAACCAATTGTATCGGATTATTAAATCTAAAAACCAAACCAAACCAATAAAACTCGGGTTTTTCACTCTCGGTTTTTCTCGGATTTTCTCGGGTTTTCGGGTTATTCGGGGTTTTTTTTCCAATAAAATCTTCGTAGAACAAAACATAAAAATTATGCTCAATATTTCTTTAATCCTAGTAAGATTCAACTAAATAAAGTATTTTCCAAGAAAATAATACGAAATATGAGATGTATCATGACATTATCCTAAAATATTCTACAATAAAGACAATAAAATTATGTAATATGAATATTGCTAATTAAAAAGCCATAATAAAAATAAGCATAATCTAAAAGTACTAAGTCATGCTAAAATAAGTAGACTAATAAGGGAGTATTAGTTACATGACTAAACGCTAAAGAAAAAATAAAAACAGGTTATGCATTTTTATGTAAATTATTGCAAAACAAAAAATAGATATTCAATACATTCCCGTTCGTAGTATTGAATTGAATGTCTTTTGTTAGCATTCGTATTGATTTGATTTTGGTTTGGGCTTTTATTAGCATTATTTAATTTACTAATATTAATGACTATAAAACTTATTGGAACATTCAAAAGTTCTAAGTCCAACCTTGAAATAATACCTTAAAAGATAAAATTATGAAATTTTTTAAGAAATATTTATAAATTATATCATAATAAGTATATTTATATATTAAATATATCTAAAATTTCTATATATGTAATGTCGGGTTGGTTTGGTTTCGGTTTGACTTTCTTTAGTTAAAACCAAACCAAACCAATTATGGTCGGG